GGTGAACTCACGGGCCAGGCAAACGCCAGTCCCCACCAGCATTAGACCACAAAAACCGGGCAGGGGGGGAGAAAAATGTGGAGCAGAACTCAGATCTTAACAAGAGACCAGACTTACGGGTCAGAGCGAGACGGGGGCAGGCCCTCAAGACTATGGCCCCCTGTCACTCTCCAGGTCTGGAACCTGAACTCACCCCCGTTGGGAATCACCAAACACTTAAGGTCCCCTGGGTGTGGCAACACAACAACCAACCACAACAGATCCCCACCCTAATGGCGTCCGGTGCCCCAAGGCTACACTGTGAACAAGCCGCCCCTGCCCCAACTCCCCAGGCAAGCACAAGGGGTGGGATGCTTTCCAGCCCTCCCTCCCTCTCCTAGAGCCCAGCCATGCCCACCATCCACCCAGGGCCTGGCTGCCCCTCGCTGTCCACCCCACTCACCCCCTCTGCCATCCGCCCCACTCACCCCCTCGCTGTCCGCCCCACTCACCCCCTCTGCCATCCGCCCCACTCACCCCCTCCGCCGTCTTCCTCCGCTTCTTTTTGGTGGGGCCGAGGGCCCTGCCGCTCACAGCCCAGCTCCAGAAGACTTTGTAGTGATGCACAGGGATGTCCGCGTCCTCGGGCAGGTCCCACTCAACGGCCACGTTCACGCTGCCGTCGCCGTTGACCGTGCAGTTGGCCAGCCGGAGATTCGCTGGCGTGGGTGGTGCAGTGGGGCCTGGAATCCCAAAGGACAAACCGTGTGACTCAGCCCGCAGGGGCCAGTCACAGGAAGAGCCGTCCCTCCCAGACTCCGTGGGCAGCTGTGGGACAGCTGGAGACAGGGCTCTTTGTTGTTGTTAGGTCCGGCTCGTTGGCTCCGACCCAGGGCTGCAGCCACCGTGTCCTTCCAGCTGAAAACCAAGTGCTGGGGACCCAGCGCGGCCCACCCGTCCTGACAGGGTCCGACGAGAATGGGGCTCCCTGGGATTCTCTACGGCTACTGGTCTCACGGAAGGAAGCAGCCTCCCCCAGGCTCCTCTGGGTGTTCCACGTGGACCTTGCAGTTATCAGCCACGCACACGAACCACGGACACCACCACGGGTCTGCAAGCACTCGGCAGGATTCTCCGACCTGGGTGTCCGGCGGGCGGCGGCGTGGCTGTGCGTTGGGCTGCTAACTGCCTGGTGGGCAGTTCGAAAAAAGGATGGGGCTTTCTACTCCCGTAACGAGGATGGCCCCAGGAACCCGCTGGGCCCGTTCTGCCCTGTCCTACTGGGTCCCTGTGAATCTGAATGGACTTCATGTAGGGGAGTTCTGTCTTTTTCTTGTTTTTTAAACCGTTTACAAAATACAGTCTTAAGCGCGCTTGGCCACAGCCATGGAATCCATCCCAGGTCCGGCAAACCTACAGGGCACAGCAGGAGGTGCCTCTGTGGGTGTGTGAGACGCCCGAGCTCTTTGCAGGGGCAGGAAGCCTTGTCTTTCTCCCCGAGAGCAGCTGTGGGGTTTGAACCAGGAACCTTGTGTTTGAGCCCAATGCTAGCCCTCTGTGCCGCCAGAGCTGAATAATCTAAGGCACGTGGATTCTGTGACCTGATTTTGTCACATGGAATGGTCCGTCAAGGCATTTCCAAACCTCGACCACCCCGGCACATGTTCGCTGTCCGGAGCGGAATCATTATCTGACAATCCCAGCTGCAGACCCACTGCTGCCAGGGAAAGGATGCCAGCTCTCAGCAAGCCCGGAGGACAGACCCTGGGGGTGTCTGAGACGGAACTCTTCACGGAAGTGGAAACCCCGGACTCTCTCCCGCAAGAGCGGCTGGCGGTTTTGAACTGCTGACGGGTAACCCCTATGCCACCAGGGCTCCTGCATCCTCTGGTGGAGCTCGTGAAAGTCCCACGCGGGCTGGCTGGTCTACAGAGATCCACAGAGTGGAGTCGGGCGTGCAGATTCCAGAAAGGGAAAGAGAAATCCCGCTCCGCCCCATGGACTGTCTTTGGGGCTTTCCATCCTTGCTGCCCCAGGGCAGTGGAGCAGGCTGGGCAGAGCACATTGCCAGTCTCTGAGCACATTGCAAACCCACAACGATGCCCGACAGTCACTTCTGTAACTTGACCCTCCCTGGTCCCCCTCATAAAACAAACCCTTCTCAGCTCCAGGCCAGAGATTAAGTTCTGGAACCATCACCC